GGCGGGGGGAGGTTGGGGGGGTTTTGGGGGGGTTTCCCTTGGTTTTTTGGGCGCTGTGGGGGCCTTTTTAGGGCCGGCGTCCCTTTACCTTGAGAAAATGCCGTTCGTGCCCTCATTTCCAGCCCTGGCGGGGTTGGGACGCGGCCCTGAGCCCTCTCCCCTCAGAGCTGAGGCGAAAAACCGCCCCCCCCCCTTTGTTCAAAGGGCGACTTCCTTCGGTTTTTTTACCTACCGCCTCCCTCCCCGCCCTTAAAAATTCGAAATTCTCACCGGGGGTAACGACTGCTAATCATTTCGTGTCTTTCTTCTTTGCCTCTAATTTTTTTTTCCATTTTTTTTTTATTTATTGTGCCCACCCCACCCTCTTTTTTTTTTTTTTGTCTCCAGTAGGGCCTTAATAATTTCATGGAGAGTGCAGCTGTGAGATTTCTTGTCTTCTGATGGGCGTTTTACTTGCATCACAGAGACCGTGAAATGAGGCATTGAAATAAGTGGCAGTTTCTATTCAAGATAATTTGGATACAGTTTGCAGCAAGCACCACACTCTCTAATCAGTTGCAGACCCCTTTTTTTTTTTTTTTCTCCTTCTCCCCGCTCCAGGTTTGGTTGCTCTTGAGAGACGCCGTCGCCTTTACCACGAGAAAACAAAACAAAACAAACAAAACAGACAAAACCAAGCAAACAAAGCAAACATATATATATATATATACAAAATACAACAAAAAATATAAGCCGGGGGAAGAAAAAAAAAGAGCTTTCTTCCCCCTCCGTGGAAGAGCCGCCATCGCAGCCTCCGTCCTTTGGACCGTCCTTGAGGAGCCGTTTCAAACTCGAAGGAAACTGCCACTTAAAAAACATATTCTCCCTCTTCTTCCTTCCCCTTTAAAAAAAAAAAACAAAGGCAAAAAAAACCCCCTTTTTTTTTAAGAGAGAGAAAAAGCAACTTTTTTTTTTTACTTTTTTCCGTTTAGCTGGACAAAAACCCCTTTTAGGGACAACAAAAACCTCCCCAAAACCTTTCAGAACAACAAAAAAAAAGCCAACAACCCAACAAAACATCAAGCTGAGGAAAAAAAAAAAAAGTTGCTGCCTTTTTTTTTAAAGCCATGACTAAAAACAAAGCAATAATAATTCTTTTTTGGCTCTAACCAACCCCCCCCTCCCCCAAAACCCCACCCAATGCCAAAAACCCAACTTTGAAGCGCTGTCGGCGAGCAAAATAATTGGATTGTAAGTGTTGAATTTTCCCTGCCAGCTCCAAAAAATACCTCAAAAACCCTCAAAAAACCTCTTTATTGGTACTTAAAAAAAATACTGGGAGGAAGAACCCCAACTGTGTGAGGAGGACGTAGGTTGTTTTTCCTAAAGAAGGTGGTTTAAAGCGTCAAATTCGGGGGGGTTTCGGTGAAAGAAAACAAAAAAGAGCTTTGGGAGTTGGGGGCTCGCGCGGGGGGGGGGTCATGAGCTCCCGCGCAAAAAAAAAAGGGCAGGA